TTTTAAGTTGTTATGTTTAATCTTTAATGATCCTAGATTTTATACTGATCTCATGTACAGTTTCTCTAGGTATCAAAAGATGTAGTGCAGAGGTAAAGTAGCATATCATGGAATATTTCAAAAGTAATAAAAGTCAAGAAATAGAAACTCAAAACTAAAAGTAAAGACTTATTCCACTAATGCTGCAGCTTTGTATTAATTGAAGTGTTTTAACATAAGCTGTTGCATCGTTACTATAATAATTATTCATACTTTATTAGTAGAAGTAGAGATAATAGCAGTAAAAGTAGTTTAGTAAAATATGAGCATTATTTCAACCGACAATTGGCTATACATTTGCAATAAAATATATAATACATTACATAAGACAAATACATATGGGCTGCAACTTATATTTCCATTATTGATTTATCTGTCAAACTTTTGTTATCAATTCCTGTTCAGTTTTTTTAATTGATAAAATATAGAAGAAAGAAAGACCAATACATCATCATATGTTGGGGTCTTCAAATGTAAAACATTTTCAAAAACACAAAAAAAATTGTTTACAGGGGAAAAGCAGCAAAACCTGAAAATGGAAAAGCTGTAACCTGTGAATGTTTGAGTATTTCTGCTTCATAAATCACCTCAATGATGATGAATGTTAGACAATACATTGGAACTATTTGATTAGTTGTATCAGATGGATTTCTGTGACCAAAAATATGAAAAATGAACATGAAAAAGACACTTTGTATAAACCCCCCTTTGTGTGCCAACAGTCAGCATTAGGCCTTGTCTCTGTTTTTGTACAGGAGGTCTCCCTCTGCTGGTGGGAAGCTGACCTGCTGTCATGGAAAGATGAGATGATCACTATAATCGCCTTGCCGGGAAAAGGTACATTTTCTCAGCTTTTTTCTATCGACAATGACACGATCCTCTTAATATCCCCAGACTTTTTGTCTGCTCCCCTCCAGTTTTACACCGGGGTGAAATTCCCACCACCTTTCCAGTAAGGAACTAAACTTTAATGGCATATTACACTATTACGTTTGCCCCTCCACCCACCAGCCATTTTCCTGCCTCTTCCTGTAACTTTAACCTGGTGTTTCAGACTGAAATCACGCCTGATGCAGCAACACGTCAGTTGCCTTGGTAACATCTCTGTTTCCCCTCCTCTCTCCTGGGTGTGTTTATGACAGGTCTTGAATTTTTTTCTTGCGTGCTGGTATGAAAAAGGAGGCTCACAGCACGCCATACTAGCCCCCCCTGCTCCTTATGCTGAGAATAGCTGCCAAATTGTGTTCAGATGGAGCAACACATAAGAGGGCACTGCCAAGAGTCATTTGCAGTAAACGCTCCCAAAATGCCCTCTAGATTTCTCACCAACTATCAGATCCACCCTGATAGCAGCCTTAATCAACCTCAACATTGGAAAGTGGAAGGAAAGGGAAGGGACGGGGGGGTTGCTGCCAGCTTGAAGTATGCGTTTAGACCCTAAATTACAATTGAACCCTCTTCCCCAAAGAAAAATTATCCTTGCATGCGATGGAGCACTAAATGGAAGAGCCCTTGGGACAGAACACTTAATACAGTAAATGGAAGCAAGAGACAAGCAGGGAGAAGTTCCGTCTCTTGGAAGCTATTCAAAACATCCCAGCAATGGTTGCATTACTGCAGACACAGAAGTGGGGGGGGAAAGCCCGCTGTTACACTCCAATTAATGTGTGTAGATAGTGCAGACGTGATTTATAGTTTATTTTTCGGCTCTGCTGTGCTGACAAACGAGCTTCCAGCCGCCTCTGGCACGCAACAGATAATGCGTGCAGCTCAAGCACATCATGAAAGGCTTCTGAGCTCCTGAAGAGGGTTTGGCTGCGGCTCAGGTCTCTGTGACCGGCTCCCTTTCTCCTGCACTCATGCCTTCATAAAGACGTCTTTCAAAGCAGCAAAGCCCTTTCAGGGGTTCTAATATCACATGTAAAATACCACTTTTCAACATGAGAGTTGATGTACTTATGAAAACGTCAAGCATCATTTAGAAATTCTTGAGATATTATGGGCCCTTTTTCTTTAAGTGACTGACTGCAGCTGCATTTTGGATATTTTCAGAAAACAGATTTACCTCTCTGACAGGTGCAGTGGTTGGAGAGGTATTCAGATGTTTTAGCAGTAAAGTAGCAACACCGTTGTGCAGGAAATACTACAAGTAGAAGTCCAGCATTCAAATCTAAAGTAAAAGCGCAATGATATTTGCATAAAATAGGCCTATACTTGCAAAGCACCAAAAGTAGTAAACTCATTATGCAGAATGAGCCCTTCTACATTCATTTAAATTATATTATTGGATTATAATTGTATATTAATTGGGTTGCTCATCAATTTAATTTAAGTTTATGTGCAGCTCACCTTAACCTTTTTATAATTTGCTAGCTTAACCTATACAAAATCCAATTGTCTTGATTTATATTCTGATATAATCTGAATGTGCAAAGTAACACAGTATACAAAGGTATAATATTTGCCACTTCTACTCCAAAGTAAATTGGAGTTTATAAACTTCACACACTGCTGGTATACTCTAATGACTCAATTTGACCCAAAAATGTTGGTCAGTAAACACATATCAGAAATAATCCTGCACTCTGGTGTGTTTGTTACAGCCTCTGATGCCAGCAGTCGATCAAAATCTCGGCTCAACTGCAGAAATATTTCAATACTGCAAAAAAAATGGAGTAAAAAAAACCCTTTAAGACCCTAAACCACCACCCCTCCCTGCCGCCTGTCGCTGGCTATTTCTCTGACTCTCATATGAAACACTTCTGACGTTAAACACCTGTTAACTTTTATGTCTTGTGAGAGGAGTGGCTGAATGGGGGAGCATTATGTTCAGCGCTGGCCAAATCCCCAGTAGAGGAAAGACCCCTCCCCGTGCAGAGAGGCAGGATCCTGCGAGGTTCCCAGCAACAGTTACCTCTATTCCAGTTGACAGCTGCGTGAAACCACCGTCTCTCCGGCTCTCTGCAGCGGCCCGGCAGCAGACCTGCTTCAGAGGCAGAGTGAGGGGATGTGAGGGGGCTTATGTTGTTGGTGTCCTGTATCAAACTCACTTTCTCTTTCACATTTTAGATGCTGAAGTGAGGCCGGTGCCAGAATACACATGACCTGTACTTACCATCATGAAGAGCCCCTAACTGTACTGTCATTTTTAGGTACTTGAACTTTACTTACACATAATACTTCAACTCCACTACAGTTTCGAGGCAGATATCGTACTTTTAATTCCCCTAAATGTATCAGATTATTCAAAGAAAATATCATTAATAAATGATTAAATGTTATGATGGATGAAGCTACCATCATTATAAAAAGTATTAACCCCACCTTAGCTGCAACAAATGTGATTCATTTGATTGAAAAATTAGATAACGCTCAGAGCATTGGCATACAAACACATCTTTGCTGGAGAGTGCTGTGAAAAGTTGATCCCGATATGAATGGCTGCAACCAATGAACATTTGCTTTATCAATTCATTCGTTGAGTTTTCCCTCATTTGTTTAGGTGTCAATGAAATGCAAAAAAGATGGGAAAAGGTATCACAAGAGCAAATGAGCAAATCCTCAAGAAACTAGCCAACAGGAAATGTTTATCATTTTCACAACAAAAATAGTTGACTTATTGTTTAATTTATTTTCCGTAGCACTGATGGATGCAGGTCTTGAGATATGTTGTATTATTTGATAAATACATTTATATTGTATGTTTGTTAAATCTGAGTTAATATTGTTTTTGAATAAAAACTTTAGCTGAATGTTATCTAGTTAATCTATTATTGACTGATGGACTGTGTATAAGGAGACTAGGAGCAACCTAATGATAAAGGGTAGATATACAGAGAAAGTTGAAAAATGTGTTATTGTTTGTGATTGAGAGCTGCCCCTTCTTTCTCTACAGAATGTAAAGTACATTCAAAGCACCATACAAATCAGGTCAGCATGTGTCCAGATTTGTGCTTCAGCAGCAGTTTTACAGATATATGTTGGATATTAACTTGTGTTGCTGCTTTCTCTAACTTTCTAGATTCTTGCTGTGAGGTCCCCGCTGAGCTGAAACCTCATACATAAAACATGCTGCCAATAAATCGCTCTAATGTGCCTCAAACTGCTGATACTCAGCACTAGAAACCTGCTTGGCAAATGCAGAAAATCATTTTTGGACTACAATGCAAACGACATATAATAAAATGACGTCTTAAGTGGCTCCAATTGGCATCGGTGAGTGAAAGGAGCGCTGTTTGCGTGCCAGGCCTGGTGGCTAAATGAAACGAGAGTTCATATTTTAAGGCTTGGATTGCAGCACCAGGAAATACCTGGGAGAGGTACACCTTTCAGGAATCAGATTTAGCAAATCCACAGGAATGGTTGGAAAACTTTTCCCCGAGAAGTCTCTTTCCGTAACATCTCTCCGGGCTTTCTGGATCCCGTAAATTCAGGTGCGATTAAAGCCTCCTAACGTGTTAATGATGGTGGAATATTTCATCCTGAGTTTGTCAGTTTTATCCCCCATTAGCAGGCAGGAATGTCCTCTCCTCTTCTCCGCTAAGAGGCGATTGGTTCCTGTCTTCGGCTATTTACACATTTACAGACAGCACATCCATTTAGGAAACACAGGCGATAACGCTCGAGACATAACAAGGGGGTATAAATCAAAAATGTGCAATGTTTTATCTTTTCATAAACAAATGCTTTAGATTGTCAGATGCTAATCTTTGAAAAACAGAAGCAACACAGTTTAGAGATTATTGTAGAGGTTGTTTTGGAAAAGTGGAAATCTATGAGCTCTGTAATTTAAACATATTCCAGAAATAAACATGTTTTAATGTTTTAACCACATCCGTGAATTAACCACAGAAGTGTAAAAAGGAAAAAGTGATACCTTACTTTAAAATAGGTATGTATATTTATAATTACTTACCACATGTAGATAGCTTGAAACAGTGAAAAAAGGAAGTGAAGCAATATTAGGTATTTTTACATTTATAAAAAGATGTCTTTACATTGACAGGTAGGCAACATATTATATTGATATACAGTTGAAACAATACACATAACTAGATCACATGAGTTTGACACCAACAAACTGTTCTTTGTTACACTTGTGTCATGAAGTAGATTCAGTTCATAAAGTCACTGTTCAAGGTTTTTCCTGTCTGATGCTAATACTGCCGTTATTTAAAAAAACAAACTAATACGTGTCCCTTACCGTGTGAAAAGTATAAAAAACACAACTTAAAAAAGACTAGGAGGGAAAACCTCTCCTTTCATTCACAGAATGAATATTGAAAAACTCCCAATGAATGGCCAAGACGCTTCACAATGATTGAAGTGTTTGAATTTACACAAAGTCCCAGCAGGAACGCAGATTTGAATTCAGCCTCTTTACCTGAAAGTACGACTGGGCTGCTGTTAGGCCTGAGATTGGGCTGGAGCTGGAGCACGCTGGAGCTGGAGCACGCTGGAGCTGGAGCACGCTGGAGCTGGGCATTACTGAATAAACGGTGGGATGATGAAGTCTGATGCAAACCATATGGGCGTAGTGCGGTAGAAGGTATTCTGGGGGGATTCCCGCACAGATCCTCAGGTTTACACACAACCATCAGATTAATACTATCCAGAGCTTTTCAATATCTGCAGTCAGTGAAGCAGAAACGTCTCGACATGCTAACTGACTGCAGAGACCCTCTGACCCCCCCGGCAACAGAACGGACTTTAATAATATGGAGTGCAGAGAAAACGCCGCCGGGGCAAACAGAAAGTCTGAGGCTTTAGCGTTTGGCTCTCTTGGACGGGGGCTCCTCAGATTTCTGTCCTCCCCGCATCCGCACAGCAGGGGGGCTGGCCTCCCGTTTGCGCCCCTTCACTGCTGCTGCCTGGCCCCTCGTCCCGCTGCAGGAGGGAAACAAGGAACAAGTGTCAGGCCGTTTGTCTAAAGACTCATATGTAGGCCCTGGGAGATGTGTCTCAGTGCACTTGTTTGCAATGAAGGAATACTTGTTATTGCAACTCTTTTCACGAACAACTCTAGACGGGGCCGGACTTGGTGTGTCCACATTCACTTAAATAGAGAAAATGTGCATGAGACAGATTTCTAAAAGACCCATTTAGACTTTAATTTAGTCTGAGATCAAAGACAGAATAAGGAACATTTCTGACTAAATCTTCATGGGAAAAAACAATGGGTGGAATTGGAAGAAAGATGTTCTCAGGGATGTAATTAAAACAAATAATAATACTGTAGTAATGTGAATTAATCATCTAATTTCTTACCTTATATATAAAGCAACTGATAGTGTATCTTTGTTGAAGAAACAGGGATATTGTTTTTGTAAAACTTAAAAAATAGATAATTATGAGTGTATAAAAAGTAAAATGGAAAAAGTGAGACTACTTATTGAGTGTACAAGGTTTCTATCATTTAACATGACTTAAATTTATTAAAAAGCATATTAAGTACACAAGCCTCTCACCTGAAATACTGGATTAATAAATAAAAAATACTGTTTATATTATCAAATTATTAAAAACGTTACAAGTTCTTTTGATCCTATAGCTTATGTGCAATGCCCAATGTTTGATACACAGCACAGGCCATTCAAAAGTATGTCTTATTTGGGGCGGTATTAACTTAAAAGCTATTTAGAATTTCCGGGAAAGCTTTAGCTCTAATGTTGTCTTTCTCAGAGCGGCGACCTCATAGCGCTCAGTTTTGGTCGGATCCCTCAGAGGAACTCACCGTGTGCCAGCTGCGCTCTCCTCTTGGCCGTTCTGTCGGTTCGCCCGGGTGGAGGGTTTACTCGGCTTGTTCCTGAGGAGCAATCAAAACAAATATGAAACATAGTGCTAAATCTCCCCCCCTCACGCTTTAATTGAACAGGATGTGACAGTGATGATGCCTGCTGGGTGTTTCAGAGAGTAAACATTCAGCACTAAAACAACCCTTTCATCTCCACAGAGAGTCTCATCACTGCGACTGCACGATATCAAAGATGGATTATTGTCTGGATTTAACAGCATGTGTTTTGTGACGAGCGATTTTTAAAATAGTTAATTGGTCTCATTCAATTCTAATGACTTGCTTTTACTGCAATTACCAAATAATGATGTTACAGTACAGTTTGAATTACGTGGTATGTTTTATAGTGATGTTGTTGTTATTGTGGTGCGTTTGTGTCCATGTTCAATTACTTCTCGGCCTCCAGGCGAGCTGCAGATCGTGTTGTTGCTCTCCTTGCGTTTCTTTTGTCTCCGTCTTCTTTATCACCGTCATCGTCGTCGTCGTCCTCCTCATCATCATTCTGCTCGCTCTCGTCTGCCTTTCCTTCCTTTTTATCTGTGGGTTAGCATGACAATACATTCTAAATTATGTTTTTTATTGCCAAGTCAACATGGATGGTAGGAACTTGTTAGAAACTATAGCGACTCGTAGGTGCTCATCCATAACATTAAGACAAGAAACTGTTTTCTTTCACCTATGTACTTGCTAGTGAAAAGCTTAGAATGATAATGAGTATTAATAACAACAAAGTAACAATCATTTGACTTTGATAAAGCTTTTAATCTCCTCACCTGGATCCTCGGGGGCTGCCGCTGACTTTGACGGCCGTCCCCTCCGACCTGTTCTCTTTGGAGTCGCTTCCTGGTCCTCCTCTTCAACCTGGAGAAAAGACAACAAATATTAAAGTCCTGACATCTGATCAGAGTTTGGAAAAGATTGGGGGAATGAGATATGAGCAGTGCAGAGCCAAAAGGTAAGCAGTTCCACGCTTTTTAAGTTCTTACACAGACAAGTCAGATAGTACGGCAACAGTGAATGATGCACATAGTGTTAATAACATACAGATGAATATTTAAAGGCCTGAGCGGACAACATACATCGTCTGGTTTCTTCTCGCTGCAGATCTCCTCTTCACTCTCTGCCTGGCTCGCTGCAGGGGACAAAACTGGAAGAAGATAAATGTACAATACAGAGACTTCAATGATCAAAGTAACTCATTTTCATTCTAAAAGGATGGCTATTTTTTTTATAACGCACATTTCAGCAACAAGGCAATTCAACGAGGTGCAAAGAAAACACTGTACAAAAGGACATTCATATTCAGTTTAATAAAAACGAAATAAGTATCCAGGCTAGGGCTGCTCGATTATGGCAAAAATCATAATCTCGATTATTTGGGTCAATAATTGATATCACGATTATTAAAAACGATTATCCATTTACTTTGAAAACATCCATTTATTGAAAAAAAAAATGTGAACATTATGTTTTTAACAGTTGATTACCCTGAACTTTAAGTAGAATTCAACTGAAAAACTAATAAAAAAATTATCGTTTTATTTCGATTGTTGTTTTCAGCCAAAATCGTAATTGCGATTAAAATACGATTAATTGAGCAGCCCTAATCCAGGCCTTGTGTTTTTTTTAGATACAGTATGCAAGGACCCTTGCTAAAATGACAGAGTAATGATTTATCTTGGATGTGCATGCTTTCTCACCACTGTCTTCTTCAGGTTGTTCACTTGGTTCCTGTTGACTGGAGTCGTTCTTCTCCTCCTCTTCAGCCTGAGTTTCCTGTAAAAGGATCATTGAAATACACATTTAGACACATAAAAAGTTAAAGGTAGGTAAGAATGGAGAAACCAGCTCGAGTGCGCTGGTATTTGAAAGTACACAGCCGAAAAAAATCTGCCCCTTCCTTCAGACTTCCTCACAGAGCACCTCCTCCAACACACACGAACGCACACATGACCAATGAGGGCACGAGATAAGTTTGTGCACAGATGGAAGGCTGACAGGCAGGCAGGCCATCCAGTTATTTTAAATTTAGACGGCTAAAATGATTGGTCGTGCTTTTTACAGCGCCACGGATTCCACAGATGACATTGTTGTATGTATTTATTGTCAAAGCATTTAATGTATCCATTGCTATTGGGATGTTAAGAGCATTCCATGGAATACAACAAAAAGTGTTTCTGAAGTGAATTACCTACCCTACCTTTAAGTAAATACAGAATTAGATGGAGGAATTGCAGACCAGGAGACAGCGAAGGTTTTAATCCACAAATACGTCAACTCACCTCCACAGATTCCTCCGTATCCTCGGACCTCTTCCTCTTCACCGCTGGTTTACCTGGGATGGAAACATGATGAAAATATGTATCCCATCATCTCTCTCACATACAGGGAACACCCTGAAAATATTTTGTTTTGTTTAACTCATAGCAACGCAGCCAGCCTTCCCCCACGTCTACTACCAATGCCAACATACTCAATCATACTATTTGACAGGCTTTTAGCGGTGATGACAGCAAAATGAAACGTGGTTTACTCTCAACATCATGCTATGAAATGTTGCAGTTAGCTGTTGAGGTTTGGCTCACTTATTCTTTTAGCTTGCATGTAGCCACACCTCGCCAGAAACTCATTCACCATTCATAGCAGGCACAGTGGTGTCAGTCCTTTAAAGAAAAGGGACAAAAAAAACACAAAAAAGACTTGAACGTACGTGTGTCAGTGGCGTCTTTGGAGTCGGAGCTTCCTGCAGCGGCAGATTCTTCTGGAACAGTCGACGGCAGAGCGACTTGACTTCCTCGCCGTGTTAATTTCCTCGGTCCACTTTCTTCTTCTGTTGCCTTCAGATTTGAAAAGATATTGTGATAAACAAGATGAAAATTCAGATACAGCGAAATATTGCTTATTTTGTTGGTTGGCTCAATCATCAGAAATGAAAGAAGAAAAAGTGTATCTAAAAAGTAGAATTTTTCGAACATCAGGTTGTGTTGCCTTATTTTAACCCATTTATATACAAAGGCATTCTCTTAACTTTTATTTTATTGATCAATTTATATTGTGGAATTGTACTTTTCCCTAATTGTAGCTCCTTTTGTTCAATGTTTTAGACTGTACAAAAATGTGATTCTGATTCTGATGTTTGTCTTATAAAGCATTTAGTAACTTAGTTTTTAAAGTGGCTTTAAAGACAATTGATATTATTATCAATGTACATTTTGCATTTCTGTTAACGTACCTCTTCTGTCTCGGTGCTCTTGTCGTCTTTGTTCTCCTCCTTCTTCTGATTATCTGAGGTTGGAAAAAGAACATGAAAGAAAACTCAAATTAATCAATATTTTGAACACTTTTTAGCTACACTAGCTTAGGGAATGACATACAACTGAACCCTTTATAGTCTTTTTATTATAGCTTCTTTGGTACCACTTTACAATAAGACTACCCTTATAAAGGGTTTACGAATAATTAGGTTGTGAACACTTTATAAATCATTAATAAGCTTTTATAAGACATGAGCTAAACAGTTGACCGGTTGCTTGCCAAATAGTGAGCCCACATTTATCTGTACAGCTAAGCCTTATTAGAAATGGTAGTAACTCATTAATAAATGGTGATTTGTTTCACACTTTACAATAAGGCTCCCTTTTGGCAGTTATAAATGTTAGTAACTCGTAAATAAATGGTCATAAAGAGATGCCAAGAAACATCAAGATGGATGGGGGGAATCAACTCCGTGAACAACAGATAGGAAGGCTGATGATGAAGAAGTAAGCTAAGTAGCCAATACAAGGCTTAGGCTGGAGCCACACGAGGACCGCTTTCGATACCGCTCGAAAGCGCTGGAGACGCTGTAGTACATATGCCGGGCCTGTAAGTGGCGCTGTAGTCCTGCCACAAAAGCAGCAAAGAAGACTTCCTGCGCATGGTTGCCCTTCTGTTTATTCTCCACTGTGGACGCTCTGGCTCTTTTTCTCCCTCCCCGAGGCAAGCGTTTGCTCCTGCTGTAAATCTCTCCGGTACTCCACCAGCAGATGAAAAACACCCACCTTTCCACCTCTTCCAAGGGACGAGTTTCCGTTAAAAAAAAATTTCGCCGGTCAACATGTCCGTTAAAATTTAAATCTTCCGGACAAAATTTGAAAAGTGCCGGTCAGATGTCTTCTTTGTTATTTATTGAGCTTTAAAACAAATTGAGAACGACTCTATATAATAATATAAGAATAAAAAACGGAGCCGCTCTTTTCCTCCACCTCTTCTGACAGCCTAGCAGCTGATCTGAGCAGGAGAGAGGGGGAGAGGCGGGGCTATTGCTTCAACGTTATCAGGAAATTATCGTATAGGCGTAAAGACGGAGCCGTTTGCCCCCCCAGAGCGTTTTGTTCGCAGATCTACCCACGGTGGGACCCGTTATCGTTTTATGTGTTTCCATGTCGGCCGAACCGTATATATGATAGAGAACTGTAGCAGATACGTCCGTTACCGTTCTCGTGTGGCTAGGGCCCAAGTCATCTTGCCAAATAGTGAGCCTGTGTTGATGTATGCTAGAATTGCATATAGAATCATAGAATGATAAATAAAGTGTTTACAACCTAATTATAAACCCTTTATAAGGGTAGTCTTATTGTAAAGTGGTACCGCTTCTTTTAATCAATATTGTGCAACAATGTTCCTCAGGAATACATTTTTTAAAACATTAAATTATATTTTCCAGATCCTGATATCTTGACTCAACTTGAATATTTTGGCTAGTGCATTATATCAATGGACTGATATTGCACAATGACCAGGAAGAACAGTTCTCTTCAAAGTGAAATCCTGGATCAGACGTTAACAACAATTGTGTTTGCTAATTTTAAATCTTACCAGCAGAGGTGGTTTCCTTGGCAGCCGCTCCTGAGCGCCTCCTCCCGCGGCTCGGGGTCTCCTCTGGTTTCTCAGGTTCTTTAGGTTGCTCCTTCTCAGCCTCCTCGCTGGTTTTGGATGATCGACCCCTGCGAGGCGTCCTGACCTCCACAACCTTCTCCTGGTCCGTTTCCTGAAGGTAACAATAATCCATGAGCTAATCAGTGTGTAGTCAAAATAAAAATATACAGAAGTCAATTCAAGAAAGGTTTTAAAACCCCCAAAAAACACACATTGCACCAATTTCATAATTACATGGTGGTTTTAGGAAAAAGGCTGTGTTTACCTCAGCAGACGGTTGCTCTTTACTTTCATTTTCATCCCTCTCATCACCTGATCAGGAACAGAAAACAAGTGAACACATGAAACTCATCCCTTCAGTGGAATCAAAATGTTATCTACTGACTGGATATAACATTTAAAAAGGTTCCTATTTAGTTGGATAGCTCATAACCGGCAGTGGCTCTGTCAGTAAGGGCTTGGACTGTGGGCCCGTAGGGACGCCGGTTCAAGTCCCCGACCAGACCTAAAATATGGAGTGTGGACTGCTACTTGGAGAGGTCCCAGTTCACCTCCTGCACTGCCGTGGTGCCCTTGAGCAAGGCACCGGACATCCCCCTTCCCCCCTCACTCCCATTGCTCCCCGGACGCTGTACAATAGCTGCCCACTCCTAGTACTAGACTCCTGGTACTAGGATGGGTTAAATGCAGAGAACACATTTCACTGTGTGTGCTGTGTGACCATTAAAGAGGGTTTCATCCCTCCCTATTCTCTCTTAAAACATTCATTTAAACTTATCATTGCAACTCTAATGTCTTAAGCTAAATGTTTAGATTTTCACATGTAATGAAAATATAAAATCTTCGCCAGAAACTTTGATGAATTATAGGCTTTGAATCTTGAAAAGTGGGCGAGGAAAGAAAATCTCACCAGATTCCTTCACTGCGGCAACTTTCTGAGTGGACAGCTTTCGCTTACGTCTTCCTCGTCCCTCCGTCTTCTCTTCCTATGACACAAAATAAGAGGTTAGGACACTGCGTCCACACCTACATTTATCAAATCTGTAACGCAGCGTCCACACGGCGGCGTGTGTTGAAGCTTGCCAGTGGGCATGTCTGAAACTCGACCAACAACCAATCACATGAACCTCCCGCCCCGGACACACAAGCACGCGGTTTGATTGGCTAGAGCTTGTACTGGCATAAGATTTGATTGGCTGACGCTTCCGTCAAGCAACGCGAGCAAAGCGAAGCGACAGAACCACAATGCAGTTTGGCAAAGCGTGACGTCACACCATTCAAAGTGGACGGGCCGTAAGAGCCACATTGTACACAAACTGTTGCATTACCTTTTCTGACAGATCTGACCCCTTCTCATCTTCCTGGCTGTCTGTACTGGAGACATTACCTGAAAACACAAACAAAAATGGCTGACCGACAGTAGAGGAGTTGATGACACATGGCTCAAATATCTTATTTAAAGGCAGCAGTTGAGGAAAAAAAAAAATGGTATGATACAAAAGTCACATGACTCACTAATTTGTTTGACCAGTACGGACTGACCCACTGATCCACTTTCTCTGATCTCCTCAGTCTTCTGCGGTGCATTGTGTTCCATCTGGATATCATTTACAGATCAACAAAAGGATTTGGATCAGATAATATCAATACATTGCATTGCATTTAGCTGACGCTTTTATCCAAAGTGACTTACAGTGCATTCGACCAAGAAGATACAAACTTGAAGAAAACAGAATCATATAAGTACATCAGGTTTCATAGAGCAAAACATTTTGAGTGCTACTCAACAGGCTTTAGATAAGCCAGTCCTTTGTGAGTATATAAGTGCTTTGTTAGTAATTCTATCGCTCGAAGTGGAGTCAAAAGAGATGAGTTTTAAGTCTGCGCCGGAAGATGTGTAAGCTTTCTGCTGTCCTGATGTCAGTGGCGAAGTCCCTCCCTTTCCGGTGGACCTCCATCGGACCTTATTTCGGAAAAAATATGTATTGAAGTCAATGGCGAGAGAAAAGTTATCTTTCGATCCCGTTTGAATTTGTGCCACGAATTACACATATGATGTTTGTCAATTTAAAAGATAATTTTGCAAGTAACAAAAAATATGTTTTGCCGTAAAACTTTGAAGTAAGACTTTTTTTGTGTGAAACCGCTCAATGAACTACATCTCTGGTCTCGCACAACAACACACGTCACCAACACCAAGATGGCCATCACTACTGTCTTGCCAAACAAGGGGTTGACTACCCTCACCATCACCACAATGAAACACGTCCAGAAGAATGTCATGCAAAGCTGCCTGCCTGATCTTTTTAATGTTCAATGTTAACCATTTGTGCAGATAGCATGAAGTAGAACAGATCGCCGATGCTAATGTAGCGTTAGCGTTAGCATGTCTCCCCGGGGGCATCCGGGCTTAAACGGTGTATTATAGAATGATCACACCGGTGTAACAGTACTCTTCAAAGGGTTCAGGAAATATGACTACTACTCTTACTGTTTAACATTTTGGGTTACTTAAAGGGGACCTATCATGGAAAATGCACCTTTGTACGTCTTTTATACATGAATATGTGTCCTCGGTGTGTCAGGGAACTCACCAAGTGTCAGAAACACAACCCTCTCTCTTTTCCTCCATACCCAAAATCTCTAAAAACGGGGCTTTAACGGATCTGATACAGATTTGAAAATAGTCTGACGTCAGTGACGAGGAGCTCCGCCTATATGGCCAACTCTCCACCAATCAGGGGAATGAGAGGTTGCCGTGGCATGGTAACAGCATGGTAACATGACACTCGTAACTCGGCCCCCTCCTTTGCAGGGGGGCGTGGTCAGCTGCAGCGCATGCAAAGACAGGGGAGAGCAAAATAGAGCGAAATGAGGCATGGCTAAAATGCATGATCTGTTTGGTATTTTGAAAAAGAAAACGTATTAAATATACCTTATATAGGTATGGCCCTACAATATTTTATTCAAATATAGCATAATAGGTCTCCTTTAATGTTACTTCATGTTAAGGTTAATACAAATGACAAGGCTTTAATGCTAACTAACGTGCTCCCTTACGCGACTCTGGGATTTGTAGTCTTTCTAGTTGCGTATTTTTCATAGTCTTATATTTCAACAGTTTTAAGACAAACGATGACTTTTTTGACATGGAAATGATTTTTTTAAGATTGACAAACATCATATGTGTAATTCATGGCACAATTCAAATGGGATCGAAAGATACGTTTTCTCTCCCCATTGACTTCAATACATAATGTTTCCGAAATAAGATCCATGAGTCGGAAGTAGATGGGCGGGACTTCGCCTCTGAGCTCATTCCACCATTTTGGAGCCAGGATAGCAAACCGACGTGTTTTTGCTGATGGGAACTTGGGTCCCCCTGGCAGAGCGGAGCATGGGGAAATGTTACAGGTGGTTTACATCTGAACAGAGTGAGCGTAACGGAGGCGAACACTTACAGTTTGTGGCTCACTCTTTTCTGTGGCAACGTTTCCTTCCTCCACTGTCTTACTCTCAGCTTCACCTAGTGGTGAATAGAAGCAGTGTTAAAGATAGTGCCTACAGTATTAAGAATGTCTGTCAAAGTTAGATGAGAAAACATCTTACTATGATCTACATCCATCTTGTCCTGGTCGTCATCAGCTACCACTTCCTCGGCCTGTTTTACAATAGATAAATTAGTTTAGTTTACAATTAAACAATGTAAACAAATACAATATATTAATGGTACCTCACCTTCGGGCTCGTCTTTGTGTCTACAACCTCTGCCTCAGTTTGCTCTAAAATAACGGTAACATGAAAAGTTAACGGTCAGATTAAGACAACACATCTTTGACTTTTTTACAAGAATGTTTTTAAGCACTCACCTTGTTCAGTGGAAACTTCTGAGACTTGTTCAGTGGAAACTTCTGAGAATTGTTCAGTGGAAACTTCTGAGGCTTGTTCAGTGGGAATATCTGAGACTTGTTCAGTGGGAATATCTGAGACTTGTTCAGTGGTATCAACTGCAGTAGTGCTTTCATCTGTGGTTTCTCCAACTTCTTCTGACACTAAAGTACTAGCATCTGAAATATCGTAGACAGTCAAATTAAATGAATGAGCATCGTCAGGCTGAAACACAGCTGATGCTTAGTCAAAAAGGTATTTTACCAAACGACAAACTGAGTGGTAATCATTATAGTAAAACGTTTACCTTCGTTGGTAGTTGATGCTGCTGCCGGTGCCGTGTTTCCATCCAGCTGTTTCTCAGGAGCGATTTCTGCAGTTTTAGCTTCATCCATATTTGAAATAGATTGATTTGAAGTAGTTTCATCATCCTGTGTAGAAGCAAAATTGTGATTTTCCAAAGCATAATAACACCTTATAAAATGATACTTTGAAAAGTAGTAGAAATGTACCAGGTCATTTGAAAATAGGAGCAAATGAAAACCAAAGGAAGAATGTTTTTATCCATAAACAGCAAAAAAAAAAGGCAACTTAATTTGACAATGTGGAAAATGCTCTTACCTGTGGAGCAGGAGACTCCTTTCCTACATCCTTTTCTTTCTCTGAACACTCCGACACATCTGTAAGAGAAACATATTTCTATTTAGGAAACCTCCCGATATGTTTATGTAGTGAATAATGCACACATTTCCCACACTGTTCTGTATTTACCTGCAGTGCTTGGTTCCTCAACGACAGCAGCTGGAGACGGTTCAGCTTCAGGAGTTTCCTCCAGTTGTCGGGCCGTCTGACTTTCCTTTGGTACCTCCCCTTTATTTGGGGGAATTATTTTGGAGGCACCTTTAGGATCCATGGACAGCAGAGTGAGAGCGGCCTCCTTCATCAGATCAGCGTCCTGCAGGAGGGTCTCCGGCTCCTCGGGGGGGAGTCTGGCCTCGGCTGAAGCACAGACGTCCATGAGAGCCAGCAGGGCGTCGGCCTCGGCGGGCAGGACGGGGATCTCGCTGAGTCGGGACTCTGTGTCGCCCTCGGGGGGCTCGGGGGTGATGTCGCTCAGTGCGTCGCAGGTATCGTCTGAGTAGGGGGTGGTGACGGGGTCCGAGTCGGTGCTGGTTTCCTGCAGAAGGGAAGGTTTCTTCTGCTGCTCCTCTGCGTCGAGTGAGGACACTGAAGATTTGTCCGATTTGTCTTCTCTGGGGGTTTTCTTCTCCTCCTCGTTATCGTCTGTCTTTTCTGGGACTTTGTCTTTCTTCTCTGTTTTTTTTTTTGCAGTCTTGATTTCAGATTTCTCCTGGGGAAGCTCCTCTGAAACCTTTGGCTGTTCCTTTACCTCTTTTCTCTTCTCCTTTGACGTCTCAGGTTTTGCTGCTGAACTCTGAACTTTAATATCCGTCTTCGATAACGATGGAGTCTTTGTTTCCTCTTTAGATTTTGATTTCGATTTATCCACGGTTCTAACTTTTTCTGTGGGCTTGACCCTTTTTGAATCTTTGTCCATCTCAGAGCCAGACTTGATTGATCTCTGGCTGTCTTGATCTGCTTTGCTCTTCTCCTTCTCGCTGTCTTTACCTTCAGTTTTAGATTTGGGTTTGTCTCCTGGCCTGTTCTCAGTGTGGCTCTTTGACCTTTTCAGGACTTCCTTTGAGGGTTTATCTTTCCTCTTGCTGCTGTCGGACCCCGGCTCCAGGTCTGACCGGTCCTCAGAAGAGCCGGCAGAATCGTGGCGGAGCAGCTGCTTGAATTCACTTTTCGCTGAAGCTTTCTCTCCCTTGACCTTGTCTTTACCCTTTTCCCTTATTTTGTCCTTCTCTGTTTTAACAGTATCAATAGATGGAGCTCTTACCTTCTTGACAGCAGCATCTTTAGGACCCTCCTCTGCCACAGCTTCTGACGACTTCCCCTCTCTTGTAGTCCCGGCCATTTTCTTCTCACTTTTAATCTTAGGCTTCTTCTCCCCTTTGTCTTCAGAGGACACTTTAATAGCTTCCTTCTGCTGAGATTCTTCTGCCTGCTGTTCTGATTTTTTCTCCTGCTTTTGTTTGAGTTTGAAACGTTCATCTGACAAGCTGCGTTCTTTGTCTTTGCGTTCTTTAGGGTGAGGTTCCTTACGGGACAACCGATCAAATTTCCCACTGGTGCGTGGTTTGAGAGTCTCTTGGGAACCTTGCTCCAGCTCCAGGATGAAGGAGTGAGTCCGGCTTTTTTCTGAGAGCTTTTTGGGTTCACTGGAGTCTTCTGAGACGCTGCCGCTCATCCTTCTGTTCCTCTCATCAGACGAAACTGATTCTGATAGATTTCTCATTAATTTCGGTTGTGGAGGCTTTAAAGGTGTAGGTCTCAATTCCTGATATTAAAACAACAAAACAAAAAGGACGCTTGTTACATCTCGGCAATCCTGCTCCCTATGATATCGTTTTATTCATGAAGTCTTTCACATACCGCTTTCTTGGATCCTTCCGTATCTCCTCTCTTTCTGCTTGAAACATCTCCATCTTTCCTAAAGGGAGAAATCATTGAATGCATTTATATATTGTGTATACTTTGGTTGTTTTGTTTATCATCAGCAGCGTTAACTACCTTGAGTCTAGCTTCCTCTTCCTGTTGAGAGCCATTTTTTTCTCCAGAACTTTCCTTTCCTTGCGAGCCTCTTTGGCTCTGGGGAGGTTCTGCATTTTTTGATCTGTACAGGAAACAAACCCTGATAAATGGTAGTTCTCAGTTTGGAGGAACATACAAAATAGATTTTATTAAAACATAAGATGAAAGTACCTTGTTCTTCGGCCTGTGCTGCTTTTTGTTTACGCCTCTCTTCCATTCGCTCTCTGTTCTGTTGTCTCTTGAGCAGCCTTTCCTCTTTGTCCTTTGCCTATGAGAGAAAGGTTGAAGGACAAAAATGACAGAAAAGTACATTTAAAACAATTATGTGTTGTTTTAAAGCTCACGATCAACTCATTTGCCAAGTAAATCCTTTGATTTAACTGTAAAAGCAGTAAAGTAAAGATGCTCTGCTAACACCATGCCTTCAATGTCAACATTAATAAAAACTCACCACAGATTTCCTTCGTTCTTCCACAGTGACTTCATCATCCGAGTCGCTATAGTAACGGGAGTAAAGGAAGGGCTTGTGAACGTAGGCCTTGCGGCGAGGTTTGCGCTCCACTTCTTCTGCGTCTGTCGGCTTCTTCTCTGCATTCTCATCTTGATCTGAGGCAAGATAAACTGAAACATGAGACTCTAACATAGAGACAGGGTTGAAAATGCAATGTTTGGTAGTAGCGACCACAATTAACACAGGGATGAAGGATTCAGACCATCTGATGGAAGCTCCCCCTCCTCAGAAGAGTCCGACAGCCCGTCGTCTTCACTTTGTTCCTCGAACGACGACAGGTCGCTGGTGTGGACGGAGCTCACTGTGATGTCACTCAGCCCGTCCAGGTCCGAGTCCTCCAAAAGGTATTCTGCAGGGCAAAGATACATCAACATTTAAACTAAAATCCAGCAAAAACTGCAATTCCTACTGACATATAAATGGTTAGCATTGAGGTTTTCATATATTTATATGCCTTGAACCTTTTGTTATCTGCTGTAATAACTCATATAAGGAAATAAAGACAACACAACAGCAGTGCATCAAAAAGTCCCCGTTTTCCAAAATGTAATTATTATTATGTTACTCAAGTTCAGTGGATTATCTATTGCATAAGACATACAGATGTTTTCACCATACACATCTGGACAATGATAGAAGTTTTTTATAAGTTCTGAAAAAAATCTTTGAATTCTCTCTACTAGGAAATCCAGAAAATGCCCATCACAGTTTCTTAAAAAGGTCCTCTTTAAATTATACACCCAATGATGCAAAACCATAACAATATATTAATTGTACAATGACATAAAACTAGATGAATGTAGAAAATCTTCGTATTTTCACAACAACAGTTAGTTTTCTGTCGCTGGACTACTACTCAACTAATAATTTCTGCTTGATCTTTTATCTACCAGAAGAAAATTAATATAAAAACCCTGAATGTTAACACGTGGTTTTATCAAGATATATTATTATGCATGCTGACTAAATCACAGTATAACAGGAAGTGCATACAGAGTACAACAGCTCACCTTCTTTAATCCTCTCTCTGGCTTTCTGCTTATCCTGACTTGGGGATTTCAGAAGATCTTCATCTTGCTTCTCCTCCGTGGGTTTCCCAGTTGTTTGGCTTGCATCTTTTTCCTTCTCCTCTTCGGTCTGTTCCAGAGTTCCTGACTCCTCCTCTTCCATCTTCACCTCCTCTATTAACCCCTCTTTTCCCAGATCCACCTCTTCCTGCGTGTCCTCCGTCTTCACTTCTAGAGCCTGAACCTCTGAAGCCAGCTCCTCTTCCTCGTCCTCATGGTGGCTGTCCCCTTCCTCAACAATACACATGTCCTGCTCGCCCTCCTCCCCCATCATGGGCTCATCTCTACGTCCTCTATCGGTGCTCGCCCTCACGCTGGCCTCATGGTTTAGAGAGGTTATGGTGTCCAGGATGGACATGGCGTCGCTGGCTGCCGTGGTAGTTGGAGCAGATGACGAGGCTGTAAAAAATATGATGTTGCATTTTAACTATGTAAGTGTGAGCCTTTTTATTTTAATGGTCTCCTAATATACTATTTGTAGGTCTCAGATATATATACAAATATAAAAAACATGTTGTCTATGAAGTGTTTTGCTCAAAATACCAAACTGATCACCCATTGTAGCCATGCCTCATAGACATTTTTTTTAAAAAGAGATGGGGGGGGCTTTTTTACTCTCCATTACAGCGTTAGCTCTGAGTGTTAGCGATGCTTGCTAATGTAAACAAAGATCATATTACTTCAAAAACACGTCGCACATTGTTTCTGATAGCAACGTTTCTGATAGGGCTGTGGGTCTAAAGCCAGCCCACATCTCCGATATTACGTCACATCGGCAGCAAATCTGGATCAGCTGTTGTACCCCCGTTTTTAGAGATATGGGTACGGAGGAAAAGACAGAGGGTTTTGTTTTCTGTCACTTTGTGAGTTCCCTGGCACACCGTGGACACATATTTATGTATAAAAAGACATCAAAAAGTGCATTTTGCATCATAGGAGACCGTTAACTTTTGTGAGAAATTCATCATTTTGTTTATCATGGTTGACTGATGGATCAAAAGCGGTGTACCTTGCTCAGGAATGCTGCTGTCTGGTTTGATCTCAGCTGAAGGCGGTGGTGGCGGCGGCTCCTCCTCCGAGCAGCTGCCAGGGAACAGAAACTGACGAACCACCCTCTCCACCTGCGGCCTGAAGATATGGTTGACTTTGGGATCCACCGTCTGGGCCACAATCCTGTCCACCCCCTGCTCCAGCATCCCAGATCTAAGAGGAACAGTTTCATTTTCTAAGTAAAACTAGTTTAAAACAACATAACGCAAAAAATACATAGCCATTCCTGAAAAGCATAAGCAAAAGCTGATTTAAATAATAGAAGGTGGAACATGTATAATTCTCCTTTCTCACTTACTGCAGCACAAGTTGTCTGATGTTGTTTCTCAGCTGGTTCTTGTTCAAATGAGGGCTCCATGTGTGGTTAGAAAGGTGATTGGACACAAAGTTGTCCACTCTTTGTTTCAGGTTCAAGTAAGCTGGCTGCAGGCGAAAAAAACAACAACATGATCACAGTGGAGAAGCTACTTTTGCATGTTTACTAAATACTTACTTCTCTTTTAGTACATCAAATGTCAGTTTAAGCGGTTAACTTATCTTCTGAAGTAGCCACTGGTATAGTTAAATACATTGAAATGTAGTAAGAAAATAGTTAGTGTTCGGTCTCTGTTGTTTTAACAGCAAATGTGAAAGTCAGCTGCGAAATTGCAACAAGCAACTAAACGTATAGTCCCTCATATTGTCCTTTTACATCCTTTGTCAAATTGGTATCAGTTGTGCAAAAAGTGTCAGTAGCATGTCTCATATAAACCCCACAATAATGTAAATAGAAATTGTTTATCATAGAGGTCTAACTTGACCTCCTCATCACTATGTAACATGAATGATTGTGAATTACTGTTGCAACAACACATTCATATGTACTTATTCTGTATCATAACAATGTTCAGTGGTATTTATTGTACTTTTTCAACCTCATTAAAACTACAGGAACATTACTTGTTTACGTTTAAAGTTTAAAAAAAAGTAATGGACGAAATTGATTTGGTTGATTGTCACAAACAAATAACACAACTATGCCTTCCCAAATAAAACCCTAAGCGTAAGCGGGATGAAATTATGTGAAGTACACTACTTAAACACAATGTTTTACTACTTTGTACTTCCACTCCTACTACTACAACTACAATTCAGAGGTAACACTTTACTCCATTACATTTATTAAGTACCTTTAGTTACTTTCGATAGATTTTGTTTTATGAAGTGAAATATAGACAACACTTAAATAAGACTTTGGTTACACCTGGAGTAACATTCACAAGCTACCTAACATTTAACAGTTGTGATAAACACATGAATGCATCACTCATTATAACCAACAAATAACCAATATGTTATAATAATATGAGCCAATCTGCATAATGAGTACTTTTAGTGTTGGTACTTTAAGTATACTTGTTGTACTTTAACTTGAGTAACATGTTGAATGACTCTTACTTGTCCTAGACTGTGGTATTTCTACTTTTAATTAAGTATAGGATCTGAGTACTTCTTCCACCTAAAGTGAGGAGTAGCTTTGGTGACCCAATACAGATATCTACTATCAATGTACCCTAAAAAAGATTCACATGTTGACGCTACATTACCAGTTATATAAAACAGTAAACAGTTACACATTATTAGACGTTATGACTGTTTCCTTACCTTTGTGTCAACGTCTGCCAGGCAGTCCCTCCTGAACTGGTCGAAGAGACCCTGAGTTTTTAAATGATTGACGATCATGGAGACCAGCTGTGGGTCTCCGGGCGGTAAACCTGCCATGTCTGAATCTAGTAAGCGTTATCTTGCACTCGGTTAAATAAAATTAGCCAATAATGACAACCACATGAGGATATATCCGACTTGAACGGCCCAGGCTTCTGTTGTGGTTTGTGCAGTTCGAAGCGGGTTTGAACCGGAAAGAGAAAAACGGTTGGCTTCCACTGAACCGGAAATACTTTGAAAGGGATGGCTTGCTTACCTAAATAAAAGCTGTAACACGATTACATTTTCCGTGAAACGAGTTAATTACCACTTTATTTTACACACATGCCTGAAACAGATTTCCATGATAGTTTATAAAAGTCAGTGTCGGAAATGGTCTTGATTCAGCGTTATGGACTTGTATCCTTGTTGAACTCAATGAGGTTGAATGACTAAAGGGAAATTAGTTATTTCTTGTTATTTGGCGACATCCAGTGGTTTGAATGATTATTGCATCAAGAATAATCCACATTTCATTTACACATTCACTCATTAATCGATTTGTGTTTTTAATTGAATAAGGTAAACAAAACTTGTGATATTATGAACTGATCTACTAAAAATGTAATTGTTTCAGAAGTTTGCGAGGCTAAGTAACGAATAATTATGTGTGCTTTCACGGTATAATATCATTGTAACCTTGCGAGGTGATTGGCTCTGTCCATTGTTAGTCGCGGCGTGATTGGCTCAGGTCCACTCTACATTGGATAACGAGTATAGATTGGATGATGATATTGGAAATTGGATTTTGACAGAGAACAAAACAAATTCTGGCAGCGGTGGGATTTGAACCCACACCTCCGAAGAGACTGGAGCCTTAATCCAGCGCCTTAGCAGCCCGGTCTACTCACAACTCATTCAGTCTGGCTCCAGCAATCCCAAGCGTCTGTTCTCCACCATCAGCAAACTTCTCAAATCCTGTGACAACGCCACCTCATCCTTCACCACCGAACAGTGCAACTCCTTCCTCTCGTTTTTCCAAACCAAAATCAGCAACATTTACAGCAATCTGACACCCTCATCAGCACCCCCCACCTCCCCTCCTGGCTCCCCCCCCTTCACCACAGCCCCTGTTCCACTTCTCCCCTGTGACCCCCGTGCAACTGTCCGACTTCATGACTGGAATTAACTCCACCTGCACACTTGACCCAATGCCCTCCAAATTTGTTAAAGAGAGCCTCCCTGCCATCTCCCAACTCATCACCACCATCATTAACTCCTCCCTCAGATCTGGATCAGTTCCCCCCTCTCTCAAACTGGCTGCTGTCACACCCATTCTCAAAAGACCTGGACTCACACCTGACATCATGTCCAACTTCCGGCCCATCTCAAATCTCCCCTTTCTGTCAAAAATACTTGAACATGTTGTTGCCTCACAACTAAAATCCCACCTCAGCTCCAATGACCTCTTTGAGCCATTTCAATCCGGTTTCCGATCAAAACACAGCACCGAAACAGCTCTTCTCAAAATCACAAACGACCTCCTCCTCTCCTCTGACTTCGGCAACCTGAACATCCTCATCCTCCTCGACCTCACTGCAGCATTCGACACCGTCAACCACGCCATCCTGCTGTCCCTCCTCGAATCATCACTCAACATCACCGACACTGCACTCTCCTGGCTGAAATCCTACCTCACCGACAGACATCAGTTTATCAACATCAACAACTGCACCTCCTCCACTGCTCCTCTGTCCCAAGGCGTCCCCCAGGGTTCGGTGCTTGGCCCCCTCCTCTTCATCCTCTACATGCTCCCCCTTGGCAAAATCATTCGTCGCCACAACCTTCAATTTCACTGCTACGCCGATGACATCCAACTTTATATCTCAACAAAAACCATCACCCCCACAACACACTCCACTCTCACCAACTGTCTCTCAGAAATAAAAGCATGGATGCAAACAAACTATCTCCAACCAGGGGCGGACTGGGGGGAAAAAGTGGCCTGGGGATTAATTGACAGACAGGCCCACTTAATGCACGGCATGTATCGGCCGGCCGGCGACGAAAGTATGTTACTTAACAAAAAACCCTATGCATTTTGTTATTTTGGACAATTATTCATATAGTAATCACATTACCTGAGCCCTTGAGTTGCCTAGAGCAAAATAGTTACGGCATATATTTAGTGATTTTAATGTTAACAGATCATTGATGCAATAACATTTTGACCCAATTTGCCTGACTTGACACATGGAATAAAACATGGGCGTAGAAAGCATCCTCAATGTGGGTGAGACAATTTAACAGGGGGTGTGGGCAGGTGGTGGACTTCACCTCCTCTAGGGGGGTCCGGGGGCATGCTCCCCCGGGAAGATTTGTTTTTAAATGTTGAAGTTAAATGCATCAATCTGGTGCACTTTGAGAGCAACATTAGGGACTAAATCTATGGCAGTCAGTACGGGCTTGGACTGTGAGCCGTAGGGTCGCCGGTTCAAGTCCCCGACCAGACCTATTTGGAGTGTGGACTTCTACTTGGAGAGGTCCCAGTGCCCTTGACCAAGGCACCGGACATCCCCCTTCCCCCCTCACTCCCATTGATCTGCGGGCGCTGTACAATAGCTGCCCACTGCTCCTAGTGCTAGACTCCTGGTAATGGGTTAAAAGCAGAGAACACATTTCACTGTGTGTGCTGTGTGCTCTGCATGTGTGACCATTAAAGAGGGTTTCATCCCTCCCAATTCTTCTTCTTCTTCTTCTTCAACACCCATATGAAACAGAACTGTAAACAGATTAACTTTTTCTTTCAACATTTATTTGAACAGCAAGTCGAGGCAAAAGTGACTGCACCCAAAACAATAAACCTGCTAGCTTATTAGCCTAAACTCAGTAACAGAATGTGGGCAACACGTTCTTCTCCACAGCCGCGCGACCTCTGAGTCAGACGTCACTTCCCCCTTTTCTATCCTATGGGTACAGCCGTACAGCCACTCCCCCTGAACCCTGTTGTAACAACATAATACACTTTTTTGGGATGCAGCTTGGGATGTGAGGACATGGCTTAGAAAGGGCGTGTCGCCTTCTGTCCTGCCATTGTTGGCAGGACATGAATTAAAATGTTGAACTCGGACTTCATTTTAAGGACATTTCGGCCAGGGGTGTAGAGCTATATTTGTTTAAGCACCGGATTGGCAAAACAGGAGAGTGTGTGCACCAGTCTGCCTTGATCTATGTATTCATGTCCGTGACACTCACAGTATCTGCTGCCCGCAGCTGTTTTATAGAAGGAAAACCTCCTTCACTTCATGAAATCTCTGCAGCACCAGGAGGCAGCGGGAGGGTTAACTCATGCCCCGGCCACACGAGGACAAAAACGGCCGTTTGCGTTACTGTTTAGTGTCATATAGATCATTCGGCCATACGAGGACGACCGAATACGGCACTAACCGACTGAGGAAACGATAACGGATCCCAAGGTGGATAGAACGGCATACGCAACGCTCTGGGGGGTCCAACGGCTCCGTGTGTACGCCCTATACGATCATTTTCTGATAATGATGAGGCAATAGCCCCACCTCTCCCCACCTCTGCTGCTCACCCCCGCGTCAAAGTAAACTGCACACTGAATTCAGATTATTTATCTTTCTCTCAATATGGACATAAACGCGAGTGAAGTCTAATCTGACAGGACGGAGACACGCAGCTCTGCTCACCTGCAGCTCCTCCCGCTGTGATGCGGCGGTGAACGGAGTAAAACACACACTTCAAGTCAGATCATCACCCTTAGCTATTTTATTTATTACCTCTCAAACTACCTAAACTAGTTATAAATATGTTTATTTTTACTGTCGGCCGAGTCACTCATTACTGGATCAGCTGCTGCATGAAACAGACACTGGCGCACTGTCCGAAGAGAGGGAGGAAAAAGAGAGGCTCCGTGTATTTTATTATTATAATATATAGATTCGTTATTCATTTGTTTTAAAGCTCAATAAATAACAAAGAAGACATTTGACCGGCACTTTTATAATTTTGTCGGAAGATTTAAACTTGAATACACGTTGACTGGCGAAAAACTCTGCCCGGTTCCCTCGGCCCCCACCGTGGAGAATAAACAGAAGGGCAACCATGACAACCATGCTTCTTCGCTGCTTTTGTGGAGGAAGTTACAGCGCCATGTACAGGCTCCTGCATATGTACTGCAGCTTCTCCAGCGGTTGGAGCTAAACGGAGCGGTCTCGTGTGGGCAGACACTATCCGGATAACTATTGCGTGTGGACGGAAGCTTGTTTGCGATTGCGTTGATGTGTTTTAACCACACACACACACACACACACACACACACACACACACACACACACAACACACACACACACACACACACACACACACACACACACACACACACACACACACACACACACACACACACACACACACACACACACACACACACACACACACACACACACACACACACCACACACACACACACACACACCCACACACACGATTTAAACGCAGACTTTTGTTCCTCCATGTTACGTTGTTATTGTTTCACTGAGCGGACCCGCACATTTTTTTCAAACGCTCCCCTTTTTGGTCCATCTGCGGCGGTAATAGGTTTTGTGCGCTGTGATGATTCGGCTGTACCTTTAGTAATGAATATTAAATGTTGAGGAAATCTTTCCACCAATAATTACAATAAGTAATCCAAAATGTATTCACTTCAGGTTTACGAAAGTAACTGTAATCAGATTACTCGTTTTTCAAATGTAACGCGAGCTGAATACAGTTAGGCTACTTGATTTTGTATTCTGATTACGTAACGCCGTTACATGTATTTCCGTTACAACCCAACCCTGGCCACACCCCACTGGGCTGGGTCGGAACACTTACAAATGTGGGCCGGTAGGATGTAGGCAAAATAAAATAATTATTTTTTTATTTACTTATTTTTTTTGGCCCTCCGGCCCACACACAGCGCCAGCCCACCGGGGAAACTCCCGGTATTCCCAATGGCCAGTCCGCCCCTGTCTCCAACTGAACAGTGCCAAATCAGACATCATCATCGGCCCCCCATCCCGTATCAAAGACATCCAGAATTTCAACTTCACTATTGACAGCCACACTATCTCCCCCCCTCACATCCGCAACCTCGGAGTCATCTTCGACAGTCAGCTCAAATTCAACAACCACATCAATC